CTGGCCAATCAGAGCACACCTCGCTTTTTCAGACCGATGAGCTTTGTAAAAATCGACGCGTTTCAAAAAGGCGGGGCATAGAGGAGAAACAATAATGTACAGTATGTGGAAAATAATGTGTTTTTTTTTTACTTTAAACCGCATAAACACATTTCATTACACCAAATACACAAAATAATGTTCTTTTTAGCAGCATCATATGACCCCTTTAAACTTTCAGGCAAAGCTTTGTCAAACCAACATTCACATTTTGTTTTGAAGAACTTTTCTGTTCTAGTTCTAACAGAGAGAAACCATGTGTGTGGAATGCATATAAAGTTAGACATTTAGGTTTAGTGTAACAAATAAAAATCACTCAACAAACACACAACATTCCTCACGTCTCGCGGAGTTTGTTGCAGAGTAGTGAAGCGGTGAGCCCTGTCCACCTGGTTCAGCACCTGTGCGCTTGCTCGTGGCCAAGTGAAGGGTCAAGACACGCTTAGCGGATCAGATTATTTCTGCTGCCCAGTTCTGCTTAGCTGCTTTAGTGGCACGGGAACACTGCCCATCTGCCCGTCTCTACCTATACTTCCTGAGCAGTGAGTAGCCTTTAAGAGCTCCCTCTTGTAACTTGTGTACAAACTTACAGTTAGAGGGGAAAAGATACATTGAAATGGCTGAGCTCATAATCTTCATATGCTTGTGCTGATGATGCTGATGTTCCACACTGATCAATGGCACATTACGGTTAGCAGTGCAAAGCATTAAAGTGAAAGAGCAGCATTCACATTTCCTTAAAAAAATGAAATTTGTCGCCGCAATGCATAGGCAGGCACTGCAAGCTGGTTCTGAGAGCTGCCAAGGCATTTTTGTCAGGTTGCTAAAGTCTTCTTGTTGGCTGCTAGGGCACTGCTAGGTGGCTCTGGGTGGTTGCTAGGGTGCTCGTGGTTTTGGGGGGTTGCCAAAGCTTTCCTATGCAGTTGCTAGGGTGGTTTCTCTATTAGATATGGCCTTCCTTCAATATAGGTCTATGCTTCTTTTTTTCACCTTTTTTAATACCCAGCAGATAAAAATTGTTTGATTGCTTAGAACAGAAATAGAACAAGCAACACAATTTAAGGTATCATTTCATTTCTTGGCACAAAGGGTGCAGACTGAATTACGTGCCAAAGTTTAATAACGTTATGGGTTTGTTCAAATACCTAAACGTAAAGATATGTGACCCTGGAGCACAAAACTTAATCTTAAGTCGCTTGGGTATATTTTTAGCAATAGCCAAAAAAAAAACATTGTATGGGTCAAAATGATCAATTTTTCTTTTATGCCAAAAATCATTAGGCGTAAGTAAAGTAAGTAAAGATCAAAAGTAAAGATCATGTTCCATGAAGATATTTTGTACATTTCCTACCATAAATATATCAAAACATAATTTTTGATTAGCAATATGCTTCAGATGATGTATAAATCTCAATTTCGAAAAATTTACCCTTATGACTGATTTTGTGGTCAAGGGTCACATATGGTCACATTTACCACTGTTTTGCACATTTTTTTTGTGAGCAAAATTCAGTAATTTCAGTAGTATCAATGTGATTGGGGATGTCGCATAAGGACAAAAGATTTCCACAGTCAACAGGTTCAAGTTGTTCACATGGATTCACCGCAACGACCAACAGAAAGCTGGCTTCTGTGTGAACTGTGCTTCATACATCACTACACTAACAATAATAAAAATGGCTTTTTTGCCTGCAAAATAAATATAAAATGCTTGCATTTTTTTCTTAGTTAGATTCTTGACTGAATGTTTTACTTTAGTCTTAATGAACACCATCTTCCATCAGTTACACCTACAATATTCTACCTACAGTAATCACTCCTCTCATTAGTCACATCAGTCACCCTGATCAAGCATCTATTTTTGGCCCACTTTCTCACCTTGCCAAAGACTCAACCACCTGCCTCTAAACCAGCAGGCAAACATTGATGACAAATTGCATGCAGTTTAATTAACAGACAATCAGCCTACACTAGTAGAGATGCCCAGGCAGCAGGGATCCAGGGAAGAGCAGAGCAAGCTGCTAAATTTTTTAGGTACTCTGGGCACAACAATACCAAAAGTGCTCAGGTCTTTAGCTGCTAGAGAGATTTAGCATTTTGCCTACTGGTTAAATTTCAGGATAAGCATCATGACACACACGTTCAGATATACAAACACAAATATCATGATATATCACTTTATCATGACATTTCACATTTGTTCTGGAGAAGAAAAAAAACATTATTTTTCTAGTTACTTTCAGTTCCAAAAATTACTTTCTTTAAAAATATTTTAGAAACCATCTTTAACATGCTGAACATAAGTACAAAACCGAAGTTACTAAGTGTAAGATAAATACTTAGATATACACTTCTTGAGATTTGTTCCAAACAATAATCATTTTATTATTATTTGAAACAAATCTTATAAAAAAAAATGTTTTCATTTAAAGAAGATTGACAGTCTATCACCTACCATGTCATGGCCAAAAATTGCAAAATGCAGAAGATGATCGCCAGACCCTTTTTGTTCCACTGCAGGGAAACAAAGAGAAATAAAATATGAATAATGTACATTTTCTAAAGCGAACAGTCAACCGAATATCAGCAATAAACCTGTTGTGTAGGAAGCTTACCCAAAACACTGCACATAATGTCAGCACAAGGAATAGCTGGGGAAAAAGCACACACGGGTTAAGAATCCGTGATCGAATAACCATGAGGCATAGCAAAAAGAATTTCCATAGATGTTTATGCTTGTATATATGTGGAAACAATTAACCTGTTAACAGCTGGTGAGATAAACAATCTGGGATTAATCCAGATAATATATTAGCGAGTTAAACACCCATTATTCTCTTCAGAGTTGGCAATAATCCAGAGTAATTAAATAACTCTAGTGCACTATTTTGAATCTTTAATGAGCAATAATAAACAAACACCATAAGGTGCTCATCAGACGTCTGCACAGAAATACGTAACGATCATTTGATAGTCTGGTTACAACAAGCTTCATACTGTGCTGTGCTTGAGCAAGTGTGAACAGATTCAGACCAAACACAGATTGCAGGGGAAAGTGTCACTCAGAGCCGCTGTGATTTTTCTGGATTAGTACAGCAGTCCTTCGAATCTCTTAATCTTCCATATTTGTGACTGTAAAAGGCTGAAGCATTCCCTCTGTCCTGCTAGCCTGCATGTGCATATCTGTAATGTCCCAGGCAAACTGTTTCCCATTTAGCTATGCTAGTTTCATTGTCTCGTATCACTCCAGTCTCTTCCTCGCATTAACTCAACTATATCAATATTCTGTCGGTTTATGATTGTGACTTATGTTGCCTGACACAACAGTCAATTATACAGTTTAGTACTCATTATTTAAAAAATATTTGATATAAAATATAACACATTGAATCAAACTTCTTGTAAAATGTGTGCTTGTGCATTATTTTTTCTCTTGAATACATTCCACTTGGTTTGACATTTTGTCATCTAATATAATGACAAGGTAAAAAGAACATCTAATAAGGATGAGTCAACTGTTCTGCTACGAGGTTAAATTCTCCTTTCCAAACTGTCTTGTTAGCTCTCCAGTGCTGACGCAGAGGCTCTTTCTTACCAGCATCATAATGGTGGCTATAAGCCTGGTGGGCTCAAACATTCGCTTCAGCTGTTTGAAAGGGCCCATCAGGAAACAGGTGCTGTGAAAAAGAGTGACACAGAATGAGATCCATTCACAAGGCACATGTATCCATCACTCACAGTAACGCCAAAGTGCTCATTAGGTGCATTAAACAGTCATTAAGCAGTCATTAATCAAGCAGCAAAGAAATATATTTGATATTATAATTTTTATGTATTTTCTCCAAAATTATTTATATAACAACTAGGTAAAAGTTTACTGGGAAAAGTCAATACTATAGTACACAGAGAAAGAATGTGCACTGATGTATGCATGCAATACATTTTTTTGATACATTTAACATATATGTAAGTCAGTCTGTCAGATTTGGATAATGAATCATTTTGGATGTGATGGCTCACACGAAAGAATGTTAAAGTTTCAGGAATATTCAAATTTCACTGAGATTCAACTGGTCAGGTTAGATCAAGCAAAATGCATTTAGTTATTGTGAAAATTGTAGACAATTTTACTTTTTTTGTACGTAACTGTACTTTCCAAAACACATGCAATTTGCCTAAATTAATAAGAAATTTAGATCTGGTGTGAACAAGAAATTAACTCTTCAGAGATCTGAACTTACTGTTTTGAGGAGAAAAAAAAAAGCTCAACCCAGCCAAATTGATTTAGAAAAACTTTAAATATGCAAAATAATGATATTTAATAATTTTAGCTTATTTACTAGCTTAGTCAGAATTTTGAATAGTACAGTAGAACAGACTGACTAAAATTAACGAAAAACATCTGTCAATGAAGGTTCGTCTGATGTCTAGGGAACTAAACAGGCAAATTAAAAACACATTAAAATCATTGTGATATAACATATGATGCGCCTTAATTTTATCACAAGCAAAATCATCACACATTTATTATCATGAATATTACCAAGCTCTTGGTAGTAGCTACAAATTTTAATCTCCCGCCCTTAAAAAAAGTAAAATTCTATTGATTTTCACTTAAGTGACTTTGGAAGACACCAAAGGCACCAATTAGCATAATTCCTAAATCTATATAGCTTTATTAATTTATGCTGTGAGACATCAGCAAACTCAGTTAGCAGACAGACTGTGTTCAGGTCCCAGCGGGCTGAACCCATCTCCCCTGCATTACTCAAGCAACCCTAACCAGGACACTCATTAGATCACAGAAACACTAATGCATGAGATAGCCATGATGTCATCCTCTCTCCTATGAGAGCAGGCATCGAGGTGCGGCCATAATCTGACATTTTCAAACATGGTCTAACAGTATAATGAAGAAAAAAGGGCTTGCTCACTTGCTTGTCCTCTAACCTACAGTTACTTCAAGCCGAATGCCCAAAACAGAAAGACCAAGATATGAACTCACAAAACCTGTCAAGAATATGCTCAGGTCATTTTTCAAAAGTTAGAAACATAAGAAATTATATTTTTCTTCAAGAAAATGAAGCCTATTTTAGGATTTATGTGTGATTGTCATGAAAAAAAAAATCCTTTCCAAATGTACATCACTGTAATGCCAAAAACAAAAGAAACATTCTTATTACTATATTGCAAAAAAAGAGAATGCTATTACTGTCAGGACCACTATCGTCAAAGATGATTGACAATTAGCATACAGTTTGGATTGGCGGTATGGTTCTGTTCTGGGCAAGAACTCCCTGCGCATCCATGCAGCCTAGCATGGATGAGAGCAGGGAGAGCAGCGATAACCCCCCAGGGTAAACAGAACAGCATCAACATAAATGTATTGCAGATATTGTTAAAGTTCAATCATTTTATGTACACATTTTAGAATTAGTCTGATTCAAATGATAATCAGAAGGCTGAATCACAACTGACAGAGGAGGAGCTGGGGATGGAGAAGGGTAATTAGCTATTGAGAAATGCGAAAACTGCTGATAATACTGAGGGACCTTATATATGAATGCTTAGATAGGTGTCGTATTCCCATAGGTTGACAGGGATCAGCTGAGAGTCAGCTGATGCGAGCCTGACTAACGTGACCTGCCAGAAATAACGCTACGCTTGATATTGTATAATAAATATACATCATGGTATTAATCCACTAACTACAGCTCAGTTCAGATCAACAGGTCTTCTGAATATAAACGCAGAGTTGTAAATAAACATCATGATCTGCATCAGTCTGGGTCTTTAAATTAAGTTTCCCGATGCTACCTGCTAAATATGTCACGCCAGTAGGTTTCCAAATCGCTACCATGACCAGAACCAATGTTGTGTGAATTTAAAGCAGGTAACCCAGACAGCATGACCCTTCACTCTAAAGACTTCACCTCTGCAGCTCTGTCAGGACAAGTCTGTGATTAAGGACAGTCTGGTTACTAATCAAACCTGATCAAATCTCTACTGAAGTGGCCGAAAGGCTCAGTTTAATGATTTCTCACAGGGCTGAGTTCTTCAAAGTGAAAAGCGGTCTCCGGATATGCAGAGGTGCAGTCTTGGAGAATGCCAGGGGAATTCTTCTGGGTCATTTTTCCATCTCACTGCCCTGGTTACTAACTGGGTCTCTTCCTGGTTCCTACATCATGGTTGGAAATAAGTGACCGCAAGCCTTCTATGACACAGCGATGTCTTGCTTTTCTGGAATTTATCTACATTACACATCATTTACATCCAAAAATTTCCAGGTAGCATTTCACCCCAAAATCAAAGAAAATTATATTTCATTTTTTTTATTCATGACATTACAACTGCTGACAGCAGGCATAGTGTGAACTATCATGAGCAGTAGGAATCATCTGGCCTTGATGAACTTTGTTCCATTCTCAACTCGTCACGCAAGAAGACCTGGATTCTTTCTCAGTGCTTTATATCTTTCCTGTAGCTAATAAAAGTTAATGACACCTGTCACTACCACTGAAAAATGAAACATCAACTGATTAAACACTAGACCATGCAGAGAAAATTCAATCATCCATTTAATATATTGTATCGATTACCGAGACTGTTCAGCCTGCTGGTGATTTCAGACAACCAGACAGACCTGTTTCAGTCTTTGAGAACAGAACATCTTGCCACATGGCAACCCAACAACACTGTAAGAGGAGGAGAACAAACTTCTAAGCCTTGCTTAAAAGACAATGCATGTCAATGGGAGCCAGAGAACATTTGTGAAGGGAAGTTACAAGACTTTGACAATTTGAAAAAGAGTGTTATATTGCCATCCTCTGAGCCGGTGCATTGACAAAGCACAAAGTTATAAAACCACACCAACTAATCCTGTCAGCCTCTTTATGCAATCATGCCTTCATGTTCCTGACATGGAACAAAGACATTAACAAATTCCTGAAGTCCAGGTCCATTTTAGGACAACTGAGGCCACTTAGGGTGAGTGGCAGTTGATGATTTGGTCTTCTGCTCCCACAATATGGAAAAATAAATGGCAAAAAAATAAAAATAAAATAAATTAATTAAAAAATTAAAAAATACAGCTTCTATAGCTGATCTGAGCAATGCAAGCACATCAGGAAAACCGATCTGTGTCTGCCAAATGCATAAAATATAAAACGTACAATAATGCCCAAATGTCAAAGACAAATTTCTTGATATAGTGCTTTTCAGAATACATATTCAGGGTTCCTACTAGGGATGCACCGGGCCCGATACTGAGCTCCTGTACTCGTACTCGTACTTGTTAAAATGCCCCGATACCAAACGCCGATACCATACAGCATGTGTTAAGTGCCATATTCAGACAATGTCAAAAACAAGTAAGTAAAACAATGCACAAGTTACTTAATGGTATGGTAGAGGGAGAGAGATAGCGAAATTCTGTTGTGTGATCTTTGATGTTCACTCACTTAGCACACACATCATTTGGATTCAAACTAAATTGTAAAATAGACCATTTATAGGGGAATTCACTATAAACAATTTATTTTTAACCTTAGGCATACACTACTTTCTGGCGAAAGTGAATCTAGCAGCCTGTGTGAAATGCGCTAGGCTGTACTATTCTGCATCAGTACAAATACGTGCACGCGTTGTGCGTGTTTTGCTTGCTTGAGTGTTTCTGCATTATATGAGTGGCTTTGGAATATAAATCGCAGCACGTTTCAGATGAAAAAAAAACGTGACTTCTATTTCTGAAAATATCAGAGTTAGGAGATTTATAACGGTATTATTACAGCAAAGCGCGTGATTACAGTACTAAGCCGCTGCAATGGAGCAGCTCTAATGCTATTAAATTAAAGATGATGTACCATAGAGCAAAACAATGAACAGTGAAAGTAACAAAAACTTGTAAAATACATTTTAATGGGCATAATTAAGTGTGAAAATAACCAAAGGATATACAGTCAAACCAAAAATTATTCAGAGACCAGATATAATTTTTGATATGTTTTTACTAGTGGGTACAGGACACTATAGTTCATTTATGTAAGTGAGGATAGCAAAATAAAGTAAATTGTGACAAATTATACCCAAAATTTCTTAATACAGTGGACTATCAGTAAAACGGATACAAATTTGGGACCAAAAATTATTCAGTCTGGATTAGAGTCTGGGAAAAAAAAAATTTAAGTTCAGGTTTGCATAAAGCTGGGTGACAGCATGCCCAGGAGACTACAGGCGGTCATTAAGGCTAAGGGTTGCCTGACTACGTATTGATAGTTTTATAAATACTGTCATACTAACAGCTGTCTAATTTTTGGTTGAT